GCTCAATAGTCCCACTTTAAATTCCTTTATTTTAAGTTGCTTGCCTCAAGCTGGCGGAGATATTTGTAGATGTCCTTCACATATTCACTGCAGAGCATGGGGTTGTCATAGTCATCTGCGTCGACATCTCTGATAGCAGTGTGCAGAATGACATCTGAAAATGCTTGGCATAGGTCAGCAGGCTCACAGCCAGAGGTCTCCATTGGTGTGGGAGAGGCTGGCTCAGGTGGGGCTTGCACCTCTGGCTCAGGTTTAACAGGGATGACATCTTTTTGCTTTGTCTGTTCAGCCTTTTCAGCTCTGGTTGTAACTTTGGTCTTGAGGGCTTCAGTCTTTACAGTCTAAGGGGGGGGGAAAAAAAAGCATGTTAAAGCCAGAAAACTCAATAGTCTAGGTAGACACGTTACCAAAAAAAATAAAATCTGAACATAGGACCAATTTAGTGTCAACTTTCAAATAGAGATCACTTCCCAGAGTGATTTTAAGCCTCATTTAGACAATCTCAGCCCCAGCTCCTCTTCTGTCTAGAGCTTTCAGTCTTGCCAGACAAATTACAACCCATTAAGTGCATTTCCCCCCTGTGCATTCTTAATTGGAAACTCACAGCAGGAAGCATGCTAACTCACTCCTGCAGGTATGCTATGCTGCCATTTTAATGTTGTGTGAGTTCTCTTGTTATCAATGCCCCTCCATTTAAGCAGCAGTCCTGTAGCCACCTCATGTGCTCTCTATGGTCAAAATAAAAACTTGACCCAGACACTGAATTTTAGTCTAAACAGCACTTAAACCTACATCACCAAGTTAAGTCAGTTTTAGTCAATCTGAGCACATTGTACTCTCAGGGGTTTTCCTGTTCTGTTTGAGATAAGGTTGTTTTTTTTTTTAATTAGAGAATCTAAAGCAGGAAAATGTGTAGGCTTCTTTTAGAGCAAGAGGCTAAATGCTGTCTAATAACTGGTTCCATGTGTAGTCAAGGCACAGTGTGCCAGGGAGGTGGGGGGGAAAAAAAAACCCAACGAGCTTAAAAGAATACCTTCATACCCTAACAGGACGTTATAATTTTTAAACAAACTTGTAAACCAGTTTTACCTTGTCCAACGCTTTGACTCAATTCAGCATTTTGTGCCAGTTGTTGCAAGTGTGGCCCCACTCGGGCCATTTTAACCGTTTTGAGATCAGAGCTGGAAGCCACTATGCCCATATCATTTCACTGCATAATTCTGTTGTTTTCCATAGATTTAACAGAAAAGCATTTAATACGGGATGAAATGTTTACCTTTTTCTGTGTGTCTTTGTTAACTGCGATGTTTCCAATTTCCCCCAGGGCTGCTCGGGGCTTCTGTGTGGGCCCAGACACAGAGCAGGCCTTGCCACCGAGGTCGACCTTGGTGGAAGCCAAACGATTCTACAGGAAAGAAAAAAAAAAAATAATGTTAAATCACAATGATTATAACAGTTTGTACGCTTTTATCTTTTAGTTAAAGAGGCTTAAGCGGAAACCCTTACTCTCGACCTGCTCCATGATAAGAAATCCCAAAGCAAGAAACGACGGCTATAGCTACGTTTTGAGGGGGTTTTAAGCGAAAAAGACAAGGAAAAAGCTAAGTGCTTCCCCAGATTCAATGATTTAAAAAAAAGTAACAAATAGAGATGAAAAAGTCTTACCCGGGTCACTCTGAGAGCCATTTCGAAACAAGCGATGCCTCAACAAACAGGGGAATAGTCGTAATGGAGAACGGTACGCAGCTTCCAGCGAGCGAGGTTTAAATCCTCGCTCGCTGGAAGCTGATTCGCTGACCTAAGACTGTTCTGGGCGTCTGATTGGTCGAACGCACCTGTTTGAAATGCGTTCCCCGGACAACTTATGGTCACGTGATTTGTTTTCTTGACGTTCATTTCCTTTTCCTTTTACGTCCTGCTTGTTTTTATACGCTTTTTCTCTAACGCTGCATTTCAAGTAAGTAAATAAATTAATAAGAAGTCACTTTAAGAGGGAGAGGAATCAAATCTTAAAGTGTATTTTATCGTTATACTTTAACTTCTATTGCCTCAAATTCGTTCAGAACACAATTCTTTTCATTTTGAGTATGATAGACTTTCTTTAACATTATATTTTTTAAGCTCTGTTATTTCATTTAATGTAATAAAAGTCCATTTCTGCTATACAGAGCTGCCTTAGTACATGAGACACCTAAGAGTAAAAATGCCTTCTTGAACGATAAAGGCTGTTTTTGCTTTTATTTTTCTTTTATAGCTTCTAAAAGTCTACATTTCAAAAGGAATTTCTCACATAACTCACGATATAACACTTTACTTTTGTCATCCATTAAATAAGCTACAGTAGTTAGCTCTTTAGATCTCCATGTATCTTTAAATGCCTTTGTTCACCAAGTAAAACATATCCACTTAGCAAAAAGTAGATACACTACTTTTTTTGCTTGGATACATAAATGTAAAGTTGACTCTGTTTCCTTGGCAATAAGTAAGTGCATTCTACAACCCAAATTACAAAATATCAAAATAAATAAATGTGCAAAATGTAAATAAAAACAGAATGCAATAAGATGTGCATGATAGATATCCATATTATATTTACACCAGAACACAGGAAACATAAACATACAATTTTACCAAAAAATAAAGTTCTTTTGAATTTGATGGGAGGAACACGTCTCAAAAAAAAAAAGGGACACCAAAAGGCTGGAAAAACAGCTATGGAAAGATTTTATGTTAATAAAGTTAGTTGTCAACAGGTTAGTAACATGACGGGGTATGAAAAGAGCATTTTAGAGAAGTAGAATTTCAAAGAAGTAAAGATGGGCACAGGTTCACTAATGTGCAGCAAACTGCATTTACAAATTGTGGAGCATTTTCAGACTTAAGTTACAGTGCATACTATAATATGATGAAAAAGCTCAGAGACTCTACAGACTCATGTCTGTGGCACTGGACAAGGCTGTGAATCAATATTGAATAGATGTGATCTTTGGGCCCTCAAGCAGCACCACATAAAAATAGGCATGATTCTGCCATGGGAATCATTGCAGGAACTCATGAACACTTCCAGAAATCAGTGTCTGTAAACACAGTTCACTATGTCATCCACAAATTCAGGTTAAAGCCCTATCATGAAAGAAGGATACAAGTCATCCATATCATGGTAGTCTCAAGTGCTTGAAAAGAAGGCAACTGGGCTTCTTATTGGTCATCCAAGAGGCTTCTTCAGTCCTAAAACAAGTGACATAGAATCCCAGTGGTTTGATCCAGGATGGTTTTTGTTCTCTTGGAGGTCGTCCTTCGGGTTGTTGAGGCGATATCAGTCATGTGAGTTTCCCTAGTGTGAAAAAAGGGATGGACTATTACCATCACTGGTGCCAAGGTGTGAAACTCTGTAAAACATTGTCCCACTATGCTGTCCTGTGAGCTGCTGAGGTCATTTGAGGCAAGGTGCCAGTTGAAAACATTAGACCCATTATAAAAAAATACAATAAAGACCCAGGGCTCTTGAGCAGCCGGAATCACAATGGGACCTCACCAAAAGTCCAGTAACCTTATATGTACTTTGCACTCTACTCAAGAAAGAGTGGTAGTGATGGGAAGGCTGCTCTAGTGACGTACTGTGTAGTTTTTGTCACACGCTGGAGAGCCCTCCTGTCCTGAACAATGCAGCCTCCACGCCACACTGTAACTGAGGCAGCGATGACGCTCTTAGCTCTACAACTGTGTAAATGTTTCTGGGTGACATGCCAAAGTTCCATCAGCCTTCTAAGAATTTTTCAGAAGCTGCCGAGTGTTGTGAGATCAAGTAAGAGAAAAATTTAAAGGTTTCTACTCCCTATCTCTGCCTCAGTGGTGTAATCATTTCTTTGGTCTTATCTACATTTAGAGAATGATTGTTTCTTGACACTACACCGCCAGGCCTGACACTTCTATGTCACCGCCTCTCCATTAGCAAACAACCCAATGACTGTAGTGTCATATGCAAACTTTATAAGGAGACCACACCATCATATGTGAAGACGGTGTAAAGGAGAGGCCTCAGCATGCACCCCTGATTGGTTATCATGCTCGTGTGGTTTTCCTGAGTGTTTGACTGGAATTTCAGCACTCACAGAAAGTGACTTCCCAGAGATTACTGCAATTAGTGTTGAATTCTGAGCTGTTGCCAATGAACAACATTCTTACATGCAGCTGTGGTCAGAAGTCCACATGCGCTCATTATGGTCATGAATGTTATGGTAGGTTGCGTCTGTGTTCATGGGAGGGACAGTGGTTACCGCCTCTGGTTGAACGAACGTGCAGCAAGCAGCAAGCAGCAACCTGTTCCAAAGGATTTCATCAGCAGGCCAGTACTTAAGGTGGTGGCTAAGGTTCATTGCTGGGTTGTTGATCTCTGCTGTTAGTAAGGCCCTCCCTTGCTAGTGTAGTGTGGTGATCTTGCGTGAATTTAAATATAAAATAAATTCAAACTTGTGAACCCAGTTATTAATTTTTAAACAAAAAGAGTTACATTGTAAAATTAAAAAAGTTCAAATAAGTAATTAAAAGCATAAAATTACCTTGACATTCATGTTCATAATTTGTGTATTTAAACTTCTGACAAAAACTGCTACATGTTCCTCGGTGTGTGAGGGTGTCATCAGTGTACCGGATCTGTCTGTATGTATGTTAGTAAGAGTCCAAAGTGGTCTTTTTAATGTTGGTCAAGACCAGTCTTCTCCCTTGGAAACACTACAGCATCACCTGTGGAACTCAATGTAGATGTGCCAAGTTTTGTACTGTTTTGTTTTTGTCTGATCTCATCACTTTTAGTGCCGTGTTGATGTTTTGAAATCTGTTTTTCTACATAGATGTTTGTTTATGTGGGGTAAAGGTATGTTTGTAGAAACCAGGACTGCTGTCCTGAAATCTTTAGTGGCTCTTCGCCAACAACCATGCCCTCCAATCAGAGGATCACAATTTTCATGACGTGTACCGGAAGGCAGAGAGGACGCAAACGTAACACGTAAAACTAAACAGATGCCACTACCTCTCCTACACTGAGGACGTCAGCGGGAGCAGCTAACATCACTCCCAGACGGAGAGAGGACCGAAAAGAAACGGGCACACGCGACGATTAAACCTAGACGGCCCTAGTTAGTCAGCTCCAAGAGAAATCCAGGTGTTTCTGTTAGCCGACAAAACAGCGTTTCTCTGGCACGAAAAGGTAAGATAACACCGAGTAGTTAAACCGCAGTCTGCTGGTTAGTTAGTTACTTAGTAGTTGTTTCGGGAAGTGTCTCAGTCTAGGACTAATTGTAGCTACAACCAGTTTAAAAAGCACATTTTCCGAAACGAGTAACGTCGACGTTGGTGTAAAATTGGCTTACTTAATTAGTGAGGATTAAAGAGTGACTGTCTGACTGCTTAACACGTGTCCTTAAAAAGTTTTCCAAGGGTAAGACTACACGTTAAATAGGTTTAAGAGGCTATATAGCTGCTAAACCTGGCATTAACCTTACAGCTATTTAAAAACCGGTCTTTCTCCTTTCTAAAAATCTCCTTTTTTCAACTTAAATCTATCCGCAGCTCGCAGTAGCATCTGAATTTCCCTAGGTTGTGTCTAATTAGCAGTGATGTTTTAACACTTATTTTTAGTGTGTATTTTGTCCCCTTGTTTCTCTTATTTAAGAGTCGTAGCGACTTCTGTTTATAAAATTTGTGGTGACTCTAAACAAACAACAAAAGAGCGAACAAAGCAAACTAGTCACGCTAAGCTTGCTAGCTGCAGGTTGCCTTTAGCATGCTAACGGGGAGATCAGAAGAGTCATACTTAGCAAGGAGCATGCTGTCTAGTATTTCTATGTAACCCTTTAAATCACAGCTTTACCTTGAAAAAAATGCCCACAGTGTTACCAAACACCATGAGGAATAATTATTTGTTAAATGTTTGGTTTTAAAAGGGGGGTTAAAACGCAAACAGCGTGCATTAGCTTGCTAGCATGACTCAGTGGATTTGTAGAAGTAAAACGGTTGTGTGGCCCTGTTTGTGTGCTGTGAAGTAGTTGAAGATGAAGGATATTTCCTCACTTGACTGAGCCCTTTGGGGATATATAAATGCGTGTTTAGCTCTGGGATTAAGGCAGAAGTATGGCTGAGGAGTGACTCGCCTTTTGTCTGGGTGATAAACGTGCTCCAGCTGCTCTTTGTGTTATCCACAGGTGTTGTTATGAATTTTTATGGTCACCCCTTTGTTTAAATTCCTCCACCTGCATGTTCCAGCAAAGTGTGTGTGGGCTGTTCTTATGTTTAAGGAGAAACCTTGTCTCTGACGTGGATACAAATTTTAGCCAGGGTTCCAGCTCTGGTTGCAGCACTCCTGAGGTTGTCTATAAATAGATGTGTTCACAGCCTTGGTGTATTGAGGTAACTCGTGTGTGTGTGTGTGTGTGTGTGTGTGTGTGTCACATTGCACTCCTGTGACAGTGGAAAGCCCTCATGCACATGTCCATGTGAGCCTGGCTGGAAGCGGAGCTCCGCATTCTGCAGTCACACTGCAATGAACACACGTGAAGCTGCACATTGCAGTGGTCTGTAACTATCCACAGTTTTGGGGAAGAGGAGAAAGACTAGTGTAACTCACCAGGATATGAATTTAGTGATGGGAATTCTTCCCCTTTTGCTTCCACTGTGTATAAGCTGTAACTGTAGACAGTTGATTTTCCCTGAAGCAAGATCTTCACAACTTCCTATAAAAATCATTGTCATCACAAGGCTGCTGCAGCTGTTTACTAGACTAAATTTGCCTGGCAGGAAGCTGTTCTCAGCTTTGAGGAAGAGAGTTTGCATTGTTATTATACAGTCTGCATTTTTTTTTTAATGAGCATTTTAGTATTTTGTGAATTTAGATTTTTTTACTTGAATTCTCTGTAGTTTAGCATTTCATTCTTTTATTTGGCTATTTCCTTAAAAAGTATTATTTAATAATGTGGTATCTAGAGTTTAAGATGTAGCTTTATATTTGACTTTAGTTTAGTAAACCCATAGTTACTTTCATTTAAACTTATGTGAGCTTTATTATTTAAAAGTATTTTTCAGCATCTTATAAAGCATTTTTATTTGATTTAGCATTTCATTGTGTTTTACTTGGCACTTTCTTTTGCCTGCCCTTTCATCAATTTTTAACTGAGATCTCTTCTGATTACCGTATTTCCCGGACTACAAAGCGCACCTGAATATTAGCCGCACAAGCTAAAATCAGTGGAAAATCCTGTTTTGTACATACATTAGCCGCACCTGACCAAAAGCCGCAGGTGTTTCAATGTTGACTTATCATATGTAAGAGAATATGCACAAAGGGAATTGTCAGGAAAGAGATGACTGTTTGGAGACATCACTTTTATTAATATTTTGAAAAACAAGTTATGGGTACATATTTGCATAACTTTTTAGGTATATGTACAAGTAGCGGTAATTACAAGTACGAAACATGTACTGTGCTTCATAAATGAGTAACAAATGTAGTACATAACAATAACCTACAGCACACCAGAAAAATAGATTCAGACTACCTTTTAGGCTCAGGTGCAGTGACACAGCTTTAACAAGAAGAAAAGTCAAGTCATTCACCACCATCTTCCTGCGCACTAAAACCACCAAAGTCCTCTCCTCCAGTGTCGGAAACGAACAGGCTCAGGGTGGCTTCGTCATCCACTCTCCGCTTCTTTCATTCGTTGTCACTTTCAAAACCAAAGAAATCCTCGTTGTCAGTGTCAGAGTCGAACACCCTCTGAAGGGCCGTGGCGGTGTCCTCCTCTCCATAATGCAGCAGTCCAGCCCTTTGAAATCCGTTGGTGATCATGGATGTTTTCACACTTTTCCACGCTGTCAGGTTCCACCGGTGGAGTTGAGCATAACTTGCTTTTCGCAAGTTTATCGCCGCTCGTCATCCACGACTCCCGCTGAACGCATAGCGTTAATTTGAAGTTTGTTTTTCGCGCTACTTGTACAGCACTATGTTGCCTGGCGGATGGACACGTGACCAACATACCACTCTTGAACCCTGATACTGTGTGTCTGATCACATGCCCTTCCGCCAGACAACGTAGTGCCGTACAACAGCAGAACAAACAAAACAAATCGTCTTACGATATGACAAAAATCATGGACAATCCACAGAAAACCCGCACCTGACTAAAACAGCAGGGTTTAAAGCTTGTGCAAAAAGTAGCGGCTTATAGCCCGACAATTACGGTAATTTTGAAGCAAGCTGCTTTCAGTTTTGGGTAAGAAGAAGTTATCTAATCATTTTTATTGCGTGTTCTCTTTTTTGTTTTATTTAGTGTTTTTGTTTTTTTTTTAATTCACTTGGGTTTCATTTGGCTTTATTCATGTCATTGAATTGTTTAAGGTTTCTGATTTAGTAATGCTTATATTTTTATTTTAAATTGATTCATTTTACTGAATAATTTGGAAATGCTTTGTCACGAGCCAGTTGGTCAAGAAAACTTTGATAATGACCATCAATCATAGCTGCACATTTAACCTGTAAGGATGCAATGCTGCTGATGCCAGCAATGCTGATGTTGGCAACTTTTGGCAAATTCTTACAGTACCTGCATGGGCAGTTTAACCTTGCCCATTAGATTGGGCTCAGTTTGTACTGTTGAAGGATTTTCATACTTTCAGGGTGATTACTGTAATTGGACCTCAACCATCTGTAGAAGACATTGGTGTCCTGCATAAATTTTTTCAACTACAGGTTTGTGTGGGCACACACAAATACCATTTATTGCCACAGACATGATTCATTTGTCAGGAAGACGTGATTTTCTGACGGAGCGACCATTGAAACAGAAATCATTGTGTAGTCTGAGCACTGATTAAAGATGTTTTTTTTGTTGTTATTTTTTTGTTTTTGTTTTGTTGTTGTTGTTGTTGTTGTTGTTGTTGTTTTGTCCTTCTGCACTCTTTTCAAGCAAAGGTCAAGAATGCTGTTTGGTTTACACACTAAATAAATAACATCTCTAACCAAGGCTGTTGACAGTGTGCCTCAACACTGTTATCTGGTTCATGGCACTTGAGGCTCAGGTCATGTGATTACACCTCAGCAATTTTATTATTAGAAAATAGTGAGGTGTCCCCTGAAGCTCCAGTGAAAGGGAAGTAAGTCAAGTTTTAATGGGCGTTATTTTATTAGATTAAAATCTGAGTGAAGATTTCATGAGTAAATTTCACTAGTATGTCAAGGGGTTTTAGTACAAAAAATATTCATAGTTGGGGTTTATATCACTATTTGTCATTATACATTGTCTTTGGGGTTTGATGTAATCTAAAGTTAATAATCACCGTCCATATTAGTTAATGGTTATACTGTGATTTAAGCTACAATGGTCAGTCAGAGGAAAACTAAAAGCAACAGAAGGTCTCAGTAGTCCTTCTCACTGCCACTCTGAAGCCTTGCTTCTCGCTCACGCTTAAACATAGCAAAGACAGAGAAAGCTGTCCTTGTGAAGCAGTAGGATATCTCCCATGGGTTTTTATTCATTTTTATTTTTGGGTATGAAAAGTGGCTGAAGTGCCAGAGGTAATGATGCGTAGGTGCTTAGGGAAAAACCTACATGTTGTAGTTGTGTACTGTCACTGGGGAAGCGTCAAAAAATGTGGGCTTGTCTTTTTCTTTTTTTATGTTTGTGGTGGTCTTTAGTCATTTGTCTAAGCCCTTTTTAAGTGGAGTAAAGTCACAATAGAGAAAGACATCTAGGAGATTAAAAACAATAAAAATTCCACTGCAGTCACAGTTTGTACTTTTATTTTATTTTTTTGATTGATGTTCGTTTGAGCTTCCTTCCTTGTGAACTCTGCTGCCGCTCCCTTTCCTGTTTGAACCCACTTTGGAACAAACTAATATTTAGTTTCACACATTTTGTTTTGTAGTTTTTATTTTTCAGATTCTATATATAGGTAAGTTGAAATTCCTGTTGCAGCACACATGACCTATAACAGAATAGCTAAAAAGTAAAATGACTCAAAATTTATTTCAAAATGTCAAATACACAAATTAGTTACTAACTTGGACGAGTAGAAAAAATAAGATGAAGGAACCTAATAAATAAAAATCCAAAATAAATGACAATAGAACACCATGTAATAAGTGTCTTAATAAAGTAAAACCTCAGCTGGACAAGCTAAGAATTTATTTCACATTAAAATAATGCAAATATCAGAGGGTCTAGTGAGCAAACATCCAGATATTATGCAGCCTTATAAATCACACGACTAGCTAACTTTTCAGGGAGAATACTAAACTGAAGTGAAACTCGCACAAAGTAAAGCAACAACCTCAATTATTGGCTGGAGAGAGGTTTTCAGTGATTAGCTGCTCTTTAAAATTTATGTCCCCAAAAGAATAACGAATAATTGCGTTTATTACACATAATGAGATGTAAACATGTGAGGCTGATGGTGATAATGGGTTTCGTGACAGCTGATTTGGAACAGCTTCCAACTGAGTCAGTGATTTAATAAAAAGGCTACACATCAGGTACAGATGTGAATATAACTGCTTTAGGTTCAGGACCTGGTCATTTCTTTCCTCTTCAGTAGTGTCTTTGTGCTATGTGACTCTGCTGCGGTAACGATGCCTTTTATTTTTGTATGTCTGTCTCCAGGTCAGCTCATCAGGTGGCAGAAATACCGCTATGGCCCAGGAGACCAATCAAAGCCCAGTTCCTATGCTCTGTGCCACTGGCTGTGGTTTTTATGGCAACCCCAGGACTAACGGCATGTGCTCCGTGTGCCACAAGGAGCACCTGTCACGACAGAACAATGGAGGAGTTGGTTCTTTGAGTGGAGTGGGTAAGACCTCAGGTTTTATTTTCTTCTCCTTGTCTATGTGCAGCTGCTCTGCCTTCATCCCCTGTGTCTCACTGTGGCATGCTGTGATTTATTTCTCCTCAGGCAGCAGCTCCACAGCTGAGGCTTCTGCAATCCAGAGGTTAGAGGCCACCCTGAATAATGCTGCGGCTGCTGCAGTTGCTGCTGCAGAGGTGGCAGCTGAGGCCGCCGCTGCCTCTGATGCTGCTGCTGTCACAGAGGCACTCAGGTGAGTGGACCCAGCAGGGTGCCTGTCAAACAGTGACAGGAAGTGGCATCTATGGCAGGAATGTAAAACATCAGCAACCATCAAGATTTGGTTTATGTAGAGGTAAAAACTGGGATTTCCTTCAGGCGAATCAGTAGTCTCTTACAGCTGTACAATAATTTTGTGACCATTCAGGACTGTGTGTAGTTTCATCCATTCATGGTCTTCTGCTTATCTAACCTTGGAATGGCAGTAAGCTAAGCAGGGTATTCTCCGTTGGGGCGATCGTGGCTCAAGAGTTCGCCTTGTAATCGGAAGGTTGCCAGTTCAAGCCCCGGACACAACGACAGTCTCGGTCGTTGTGTCCTTGAGCAAGACATCACCAGTGTGTGAATGTGTGCGTGAATGGGTGCGCTTTACAGGTTGTGTAAAGCGCTTTGGGATCCTTAAGGACTAGAAAAGCGCTATACAAATACAGGCCTTTTACCATTTAGTTGTCCTTCTCCTTAGCCCCATTTCTCCTGGGGGATTCTGAGATGAGAAGTATAATCATCTCAGAGGGTTGAGGGTCTGCCTCAGTGTCTTCTGCTTGGGCATGCCCTGAAAACCTCCAAAGGAAATCGCGTAGAAGCAGCAGCTCTGCTCCAATTTGCTTCGATTTTCTGTTTCTTAGACTGAACCCAGCAACTTGTTTCAGCTGCTTGTATTTGCAGCTTAAATTCCACTTACAAT